AAAAAAGAACAATAAAAGTCGAATAGCGATTTTTAATTTGTTTGTCGAATTTTTAATTCGATTGTGTCACCCGTGTGAGGTCGTGTGCTTTCTTAATTTGTAAACTTTCCAATCAGGTTTAACATTCCTTAAACATTTCCGGTAAATCCTTTTACATAAGCTACTTTTATTCTTTTGGTAAGACCGAATTTCGTATGAACCGAAGGAAACGCCGTAAATCAACGGATACCGGATTTTCTCTAACAAAAATCTCAATAGCCACCAAGAGTTTCACAATACACGCACCCAGAACCAAAAACGTCATGAACGGCTGAGTCACATAGGCGTGATGGGAAAGGAAGTCGTTGATTCGTTTATTAAACATGATCAGCACTCACCCTAATTTAGAAACTATTTTATTGGCTGAGGCTTGAATGATAATCGTTGATCATCGTCCATCACAATGACTTACTTAGGTGACATGGATATGGAAGGTATTGAACAAATAGCATTCGGCCGCCAAAAAATTACCCGTTTTATAAATGTTTTGTGTGATATGGACTATTACCAATGGAAACATTGAATTGAAATTCCTAAATTTTTTTTTGGATGTGCATGTATCACGATTACTTGGTAAAAAAAAAAAAAAAATTATTTACAATCTATGCTATTATTAGTTGAAAGCATAGTGTGTATCTATCCCTAGATCCTTGATTCATGCGAGATAAGATATACCTTGTAAAGTAAATTTATGCGCAAATCCAGCTAATGAATACACAATAATACTATTGTGGAAATAATTCGGTCATGAAAATATTGTGAACCAAAAATCTTCACGTCATCCATGCATAATGCCAAGTATTATAAATTATTTATAGCACCATTTAACACAAAACCGGGATATTTTTTAATCCTTGAATATTTGAATGTGCACTTTATTCACATACTGTAATTTTTATTATTATCTTTGTTCTAAATATTGTTGTTCCCTCGTGATGAAGTGTTGAAGTGTACACATGTACATTTCATATACGCATTCTCAACATGATTTCTGTAATTCAATGCTACGCGGAAGTAAGGTATGCGTTTTCTCGATCGTTTTTTTGCTCTTTTAAAGGAACAAAACAAATTAAATGCCTCATGTCTTGAAAGTGATCTTCTTTCTCCGAACCTTCCTTTTTTTAAAAAAAAAATTATCTACATCTGATCAGCAACTCCAAAAATTTTTTAATTAACGCATTTTTGATTGGTGGGTCTTATGTTCGTATGCTCCCACTGTTACAATTCTGATTTCTGAGTAAAATTAAATCTAGAATGCAGGGATAAGCGATCCATATTTGCATGCATTCAACGCGATAAACAATACACGTTATAAATAAGACGACGGTCTTTCTATTAACCACATGTGGGTTTGCGTTTAATTACCGGTATTACAATCGCTGAAGTATATAAAGAATATTAACCCATTGGTCTCGTGTAGTCCTCGAGATAAGTGCAAGGGTCAGGTGATTCATGAAACAGGAAGAATGACTTTCGTTCACCAATAAACGTAGCAATCATCTCGAATATATGACCAATACGTATTTAGATTCTTATTATGGAATATTGAGACAACAAAGAAGCGTATAAACAATTTAAATAAAAGTTGATATTCGGTAGCAACGGAAAAACTTCGTCAGAATGAAATGTGTTACACAGTTGCCAAATGTTAATTATTTATGTGCATGACATTCTCTTTTCTATTTGCTTAAATTATATATCCTTCAAGTATAAGCCGAAAAATTACCAAAATCATTCCATGTGTGGGCTTTGACTTTTGCACTGGTGTTAAAAAAAAAATTTCATTTCCAATACGAGGTAAGAAGGGTCGCAAAGACATAAGCGAGCAAGAGAGAGTCATAGCCGAAATTACTAAGGAGAATTACACCAAGTCATAAGGCTCCGCACTCGAGAGACAAGACGTTCCCCCTCTCAATAACAGCTTCTTGTGTGATTAACTCCTTTCATTTTTCAGGGGCCTCTACATGGGTAGGCAAGGATGTCGGATGAACGGGGGAACGCAACCGTAGAATACGACAGGGGACTATTAATATACTACTGCAAATGGTTTTTTTTTATATTATACGGTACATGTAATTAAGTAATTGGATTTAAAGTTGGTTAATAAGGTTTAATTATAAATAATATTATTAAATAAAATAATATAGAAGTCTATTTAACATAAAAAAAAAATTTTTTTTTTAATGAGTTACGACAAAAGTAACACTTGTGTACAAAATGATGTCATAGATATCACCTAGGGATAATGTACAGTATATATACGCTTGTTGTATCCTTAGCCTCCACCAAAAAAAATTTCTTGAAAAAAAAAAATTTCAAAATACAATGTTCTCATCTCAGGTTTCATTCCAAGAGCCTCAATTAAGACAGGAACATCCAGCACTTAAACATTCGCCTCGAAGTCATCATCCAAAGCCAACATACTTCTTGTCAACTCCACCGCCTTCGCCGATGACAGCCACACTAGGGCAACCTAATCGCTCCTGTGCAAGCTGCAAGAAGCGAAAAGTCAAGTGTGACAGGAAGACACCTTCGTGTTCAGCCTGTCAAAAGTCAAAACATCATTGTCATTATACCTCCTACTCTCCGACTACCGTGATCACAGAAGAAACTCAATTCAACGGAGAAGATGAAGTATTCAGAGCAATGAAACAGAAGTTTGAAGAAATTGACAAACAACGTTGGGAAACTTTTATTAGAAATTTTAATCCCGCATTGGCGGCAAAGGTAATTAATTAATCCATTCATACGAGGAATGACTCGAATTCCTCTTTGCCTCGTCTTCATGGTTTTCGAATTTTCTCACCTTCCCCCCCCCCCCCCCCCCCCCCCCTCCCCCCCCTCCCACCCCCCCCCACCCCACCCCCCCCACAACCATCTATCCGTTTATTAACCTTCAACAAAAACTCTCGTTCAAAAATATAGTGCCTTAATCAACCGCAGCAGGAAGAGCGTAACTTGGGATTCCCAGTACATTACTACACAGATGATATCTATAACTTAAGTCTACCGGTGGGTGTCCAGCACCCCGTGCCACCTACGTTGACTGACGCGCCATACCAAAGTTCTTATGTCATTCCTCCCGTTCCAACTTCTCCAGGTTTGTGATCTATCCTGCTGCGGTTGATTAAGGCACTATATTTTTGAACGAG